TCACTGTCAGGTCAGGTCTTGGTTTGGATTGTAGCCTAGCCATTTGTACTTAGAGTCATACTTGCACTCCCAATTCCTTTCCCACATATCCTTTTTTGAAAGGTATTATATCTATTCTTATATAAATTGGTCTACTGCTTACAAGGCCCCTCTTTGAACGAGTTCCTGCTCTCTCAAAGGCTCTGATCTTAATGCCCTGCATCCTCTTTCTTCTCTTCTTTGGAGGAACTTTTGCTCAAAAGGGCTTTCAACAGTCTCCATTTTTTTCAAACATATGTCATATGGCAGTCTTCAACTTGCAAGAAGTTCTATATAGTGTTTCCTCACGTTGTAACATGCTGCATTATGTCTTCATGACGCAACTTAAGCTTCTTTAGCTTCGCACATCCACTGTACGCTCATAGAGCTGGCTTTTTCCCCAAACAGTGTGGACACACTAGGGGTTCTTACGGTAGGAGAAAAGCAGGTGTGCTAAGATATGTGTGCCGCGCGGCCGTGTCCGGCTAATTCGTTGCTATTTACAGTACATTCATGCCTCTCGACATCGTCAATGTGCATTTCGACTGCGCAGGCTCACAAAGTCTGGGTGCCCCGGGCGGGTGCTTCTAACGACTGCGCTCTCGTTGTGGTGTCGTGCGCATTTCCGCACATGATGGCCACTTTTCGTGGCAGGTGCAAGGGAAACCTCGTGTTTTTGTGCTTCAAAGTTTCGTGGCAGGCACAGCACTTTGGACATGGTGATGACGAGTGCAGATTTCGTGGCAGGTACAGCACTTTGTGAACCTCGAAGTGCAGATTTCGTGGCAGGCGCAGCGCTTGGTGAACCTCGAAGTGCAGATTTCGTGGCAGGCGCAGCACTTTACCTCAAAGTGCAGATTTCGTGGCAGCCACAGCCCTTTGTGAACCTCGAAGTACTGTGTGAACCTCGGCGGAGGCGCAGCACTTTGTGCCTCTCTCACTCTCACTGTCACCCTCACTCTCCCTCACACACACGCTCACACTCACACTCACTCTTCACTCACTCTCACATTCACACTCATACTCACTCACACTCACATTCACTCTTCACTCACACTCACAATTCACACGCACACTCGCTCACTCACATTCACACTCACACTCACTCATTCACACTCACACTCACTCATTCACACTCGCACTCACACTCACACTCACTCTCACTCTCCCACTCCCACTCACACTCACACTCCCTCTCTCACCCACACTCACACTCACTCACTCTCATCCACACTCACTCTCACTCTCACTCTCCCTCTCCCTCTCCCTCTCCCTCTCCCTCTCCCTCTCCCTCTCCCTCTCCCTCTCCCTCTCCCTCTCCCTCTCCCTCTCCCTCTCCCTCTCCCTCTCCCTTTCTCTCTGGACCCCAGTGCGTCTAGATCTCTAGACTTTCCGCTTATAGCCTATTATAGACCTCACGCACGCTGTTTGGGGTCTCTTGCCGGGATAATCTTTGGTAGCCTAAATTCAATCCCTTCGGAAACCGCTAAGCCGGCTTTCTTGAAGCCACACTCTGTGCTCCATACTCAAATTGCGGTCTTTTGCATGACTTGTAGTTACTATAAGTATTGGTTTGACTACTTTAAAGACATTCACAATCCTATACAGTATACATTTCCAGTTTTCACTCAAACTGTACACTTCACCTCATAGTCTCCTACCTGTTTCCCCGTAGACTCTGGACCCGAGACTCACAGCAATCACTTTACAACGCAACAATATTCTGGTCTATCCCGCCCTACGCTTCTCTCAGCTTGTGCCTTTAGGTCACTTTTGGTGGTTTTTGAATGGTGTGCACATGTTTGAATTCAATTCTCTAATGGACTGCCTTGGGTAGACCTCGAAAGCGACTCCTGTTGTTGAGACAAGGAACGCCTTTGTTCAAGTGTGCTTGATGGGTTTTGTCGAAAAGACATAGGCAAGTGCGAGGAGGCATCAAGATGAATTCGAACAGGCTTCATGGGTTCTGCTACCTCTTTTTGAGGGTGCCCCCTCACAAACACACTCACACAAGCGCAATACCGCTTGAAGGTGTTCCAACGCTGCGAACTTCCTGTTACAGTAAAAACAAAATAGGCAACATTTTGGGACAGCCACAAACCCTGAGGTGTATCCTGTTTGGCAGAGTCAGACAGGCCTGGATTGCACATCAATCTACATTTGCTTTTCTCTTCGGTTCTTCTTCTTCCCAGTCATTTTTCTAGTTGCATGGTTACTTCTGTCATCTGAGGATGATTGCCGGAGAGCTTCTTTTTGCCACAAACAGTGGCATGGCAAGGGACTTAACTGCTCCACGCCCCGACAATTTTGAGCACTCTACGCTTGTTGCGTGCAGACGACAAACCTCTGAGGTCATCCTTAAGCAAGTTTTGCTGGATGATGACATGTTCATAATTGGAGTGCTGGACAAGGAGTCAAAATGAGCCAAACCATTGTGGACTTTGACGGACTTTGACACTGCTTCGCTCAAAAGGATCGCGGAGATTGTGACCTTGTCCGACGCCTCACAGCTTGGCTGGATGCTGCGGTTCGGTACCAAGACCATCCGTTGTAAGTGGTTCACCCTGTCCATAGTCATAGGCATCGTAAGAGCGATGGCCTCCAACCTAGAAGCGATGGCCTCCATCGGAAAAGCAATGGCCTCCAAGCTAGAAGCGAGGCTTAGACAAATGACCTTTTGCTTGGTAATTGTACAGTTGACCTTTTGCTCAGGTGACAACCCTCGCTGCAGAATTTTTCTACTCTGCTCCGTTGCGTCGACAGGCGGACACCCTAATGGCCTCAGCAAAAAAACCTGAAGCCTTTGGTACTCGTACAAACCTGCACAACCATGGTATGGAACCTTGTACCAATGACTCGCAAAAGGATCGGAACACTTGCCTTGGATGAAATCAGATCCGTCGAAATTTAGCACTTCAGATTGCCCCAAAGGCCAGATCCCGGACAAAAGAACTTTCAACCTGCAAGGCATGTCTATATAATATATATAAACCCTGAGATCACCCCAGCTAACAACTAGGAATATCCGGCGAATTGTGATTTGACAATACAAAACTGCACAGTGTCATACAAACATTTGAAGAAACTGTAGAGTGGGTGCACTGCTCCAAGGTGGCAGATGGCATCGACTATCCTGACATGACTCAGCGCTAGTGTGCGAATCCAGTTGAGTTGACCGAACTTGACCGCAACTCCATAGCACCCTCAGTTCTGTCAGCCTTGTGAGTGTGTGTGTGTGCACTTCGTCCAGGTATTTGCAGAAATGAGCTGTAAAAGTGATGATGGACCGATCATTGTTTGAATGATACTGCCGCATGGTAAGTGTGGATTCTCGCTCGGATTAGAAGGCGTGGTAGATCATGCTATAGAAAGCCCAGAGCTGAATCTACTAAAACAACACATTATACAAATGACTACAGTTGTACTTTGCTTTAATGACATGCATACAAAAACACACAAGCGTCGTGAACCTCATTCAAGGCTACTGTAGGTCTCAGCGTATGCCAAGCTTTTTCAGGCTGGCATGGATGCACCAACCGAACACTTCTTGCAGCCAATCCTCACCTACAGCCTACTCCTGGCACAGGGGGCCAACAGATACTCTTGCCTTTGTGTGGAATGGGGGTGGGGTGGGGTGCGTACCTTTCTTCACTCACAAGCTAAAAGATACTGAACGGATCAGACAATTCTTCCAAACCAAGGAAGGCCGATGTCCTCTGAGATTTTCGATGAATTTCAATTCGATACCGATAAGGCTTTCCTAGTCCAGCCAGGGTATTCAGGGTATTCTGTAGTGACTTGTAGTGTGTGCATTAGATTAGAGTGGCATTTTAGGTTTGTCACAACCAAAGTAAAACAGGCACAGGACATGAATAGGATCGCATGACTACAAAGAAAGGAATGGGCATCCCAGGTAAATGCATAGGAATGCAAGTCAGTGTAATGAAATCCTGAAACTGACCACGGGGTGCGTTGCAGGACAAAAAAACAGGAAAACTGAAATGAGTTGGGCATGACTAGGGACCGATATACTGTAACAGTAGTACAGTGTAATTCTTTAGAGCAAGTCGCAGTTGTGCTGACAGCTCAGCAGCAGTAAAGAAAGCCCGATGCATCTCTACATAAGACACGCCACTCAGGCGGTTCTTGCTGATGAATAGTGTGTTTCCTGTCTTACAAAGCCTTCCACACTTCACAATTGTATGCGGCTGGCAGAATGTGCTATTCTGCAGGGAATGCCTGAATGGCATCCAGTTCCAAAGCCAAAAGCAAGAGATCTTGCACAGCAAGATGAGCAACACAATGTGTTGCTGGCAGCTCGCTCTCGTCCCAGTTGTTTTAGCTTGGAGTTTCTATCGATGCTTTAGGGGCGGGGATTGTGCGAGACAATGCCGTGCGCTTGCCACAATACTTCTGGAAGAGACTGGGCAGGATAGGAAGCGCGCCGACTGCTCTTGGTATCCTTTCATTTGGTTTGGAGGATGGACTTGCAAGCCTTGAATGCAGCAGTTGCTCATAGCTTGACCTCAGCAACTTATTGAAGTCAGAAAGAGTACTACCCACTCTGAATTGCGAGCGTTCGGATATCAGCCCGATCCGACAAGTTTAGATTATATAGATATAGCGGGCAGTGGGCTGGCCAGAATGATCCCATGTACGTTCAATTTGCTCCAGTTGCCCAAACATTTGCACCGCACATGCGTGTTCGACTTTACCAGGCGGCTTTGAAGTTTTAAAGCTTAAGCTTTGGGCAGATGATGGGATAACAGCACATGTGTAAACACCCGCAGCTCTGTCCAGTCTCAGCCTTTGTTTCAAGTTCATAAGTTCCGCAATATCTCCTCAGCTTGGCAGTTGACAGCTGGCTCAGCCTCGTGTCAAAACAGAGTGTGACCTGTTTCAGGAACTTGTTTCGAACATGAGGCAGTTGCAGGACCACCTTCCGTGCCCCACGCATTTTGACTGACTCAACGATAGCTGAGGCTTTGCCCAACCACGGTTGGTGGAGTGCAGCGCTACCGTCGCGAAATTTGTGCAGAGTTGGCTGATGCTTTTGCCGAAAGTGCCAGCGCCTAATCTCATGAAAGAACCTTTTCCACACTGGATTTGTGATTCGTTTGCTGAGTACGACACGTCGTGTGCATGAAAGAACAGGTTTCACGGGCTGACAAGGCCAGGTCTTGCCTTTTGCACCGGTACAAGTTTCTTTGCCACTAGGAACAAGGACGCTACTGGGAACAAAGGGCATCGCTACTAGGAGCAAGGACGCTACTAGGGGCTCCTTACTATATACTAGGAGCAAGAAGCTACTAGGAGCTTTTGGTTCTTGGAGGTGAGCGCCGCGAAGGCCGTTTCAGGGTTCGCAGCACAACTGGAAAAGGCCAGCCCGTGGGATTGTAGAAATTGATGAATATTATAGGTTATGGTATCATTGGTTTGCCAAAGAGAATGAGCTGAGGCTTTACTGAATACAAGCAAATTCCTGTATTCCAACTTGGGCAAGGAAATGTGATGCAACAAGGAATCAAAAGGAATCAACTTTATCGAAACAGCAGAGTTGCTGTGGGCCCTTCTTGTGACTGTACCTGTGAGGGGTGTGTTGCATCTCTGGTTGCTTCCGGCTGTTTTGAGTGTGCTGGGTTGCTTGAACCGTTTGGTATCGCGTGTCTTTGGCTGTCTCTAGTTAGTTGTTTCTGGCGTTTACCGAGGAAAGACCTCTGCGACGCGTGCAACAAAAGAAACAAAAGATTGCGTTTCTTCCGTGTTCAGGTCTCACCTGGGTCAAGCGCTAATCCGGGCCTGTGATCGGACAGGGGTTCTCAATTCTTGCATCGAAAAGATCCTGGCCCGAGATGTCCTTCATCTCTGTTTGTCTCCCTTGGCTCTTTTGGAAGCCGGGGTCATTCTGCTAAGATGACTTTGTTTCCCGCGCCTCCCTTTGTCTCCCATGGCTCTTCTGGATGCTTGGGCTGAGATGATTCCGCTTTGTCTCCCTTTGTTCCCCAGCATTGGCTTGCAAAGACTTGTATCCCCTCTGTCTCCCACTTGTTTTCTCCCTGTTTGTTTCAGAACAGGTGCTCCTGGGAGATGTGTTTCATGCAAAAAAGGATGCACAAACACTGTGTTTTACAGTGATTTCTTGCAAAGACCTCTCCAAAATTGAGGTTTTGAGCTATTTTTAGATAAATTTTGTGAGATCCAAGCCTATCACACTTTAGAGGGAATACAAAAAAACGAAAAAAAAAAACAAAAAAACAAAAAACAATGTTTGAGACAAAATGGGAACACTATTGGTTTTTGGATGTTGGCTGCATTTTGTCTCAAACATTGTTTTTTTTGTGTTTTTTTTTGTTTTTTTGTTTATTGTTTTTTTTTGTTGTTTTGGTATTCCCTCTAAAGTGTGATAGGCGTGGATCTCACAAAATTGATCTAAACAACCTCAATTTTGGAGAGGTTTTTGCAAGAAATCACTGTAAAACACAGTGTTTTTGCATCATGTTTTGCACACCACAGCCCACTAGATGTAGCTGCAAATGGCAACTGACATAGTATTTGGTACAACTTTTTCACAATATCAAGTGTAAGCTTCTAAAGGCTGAGCCTACATTGGCTGAGCACACTCACACCAAGCCTACACTGGCCAAACCTACACAAACAATGCCTATAGTGGCAGCATATATTTGCTTGAAATATAGTGTATTTTAGATACTTTGGAGATGACAGCACCATAACAGCACACTAGTTTGTGCAAGTCTGTGTTGCACAAAGAATTACAAATTATGAACTCCTGAGTGGAGAACTAATGCACAGACAACTGTGACTACAGCTGTACAAAACTCTTCAATTCATTTCCAGGCCAGCATCCTGTAGCTTTCTCTTCTTACAGCTGGACTCAGAAGCAAGTGGTGGAGGTGATGTCAGGATCTCCAAAGCATTGTCTCTATGAGCTTCTGGATCTTCATTTGGAATGTTGAAGTGCAGCCTCCATTTGTACACTTGCAATGCCCAGTTGGTTGGTGCACCATGTTCAAACACTACAACTTGAGAATCTTCATCACCATCCAGAATCACATCATCGACATGGTAAGGAGTAGCTGTAGTAGTAGTTGAAGTGTTCACACATGCACTGTGGACGTTTGCCATGGCTTCAACATACAATGATGTAAGAAAATAATATATATAGAGTAAAGAGTTTATTTGTTTTTGTTAAGCTTGAATTCAAATTCTTGATTTCCAACATTGAATTCAACAGCTTGAATTAATGTTTTTGATTTCCAAATTTGAAGTCAACAGCTTGAATTCAAATTGTTGATTTTAAAATGTGAATTCAACATTCAAATGATTGATTTCCACATTTGAAATCAACAGCCTGAATTCAAATTCTTGTATGCTAGAGTTTTGCTTCGATACATACATATATTTCAATATGTTTTGTTACCCCAAAACTTATTCAACCTATATGTAGTTGAGCCAATATTTTGTTGTATATGTAGACTGAAATTATATTAGAATGAGCCCGTAAGGGCATAATGCTAAGCCTTTAAAGGCTGTTTGTTTGAGCTTGTACAAGCTATTGATGAGACAAGCTTGCAAAAGCTAATGCAAAGAACTCTTTTTACAGCTCAGCCTTCTGCATACAGTTCTCATTGTCCCAAGTACTTGCTGTAAACAGCCTTGCCTTCTTTGAGGTATCATTGACATATATGTTTATCTTGATATATATATAATATTTATTTAATAACTATATCATCAAACTCAAACTGATAATTTTTCATTATTGGTATTACACATTGACAGGCAAAGGGAGATAGGGCTGTTATTTGTTGTTGTCATTGACATTGGACATGGAGACTGGGCACAGACAGATCATTTGTGTTTCGCCTAGTTCTCAGAGCAGTTTTTGAAAATTTGCACGGTATTTACAGTGTTTTCTAAGGATTTTGAGCTAGTGTGTGCTCTCCCAAGCACACCCACCCTCTTTTGTTTCCCCACTGGCAACCTGTCACGAGAGGATACCGCCTTTGTCTCTTTGTCTGACTCTACGGTTCATGACTGGCAACCTGTCACAACATGATTTCCCCACTTACGACATGACTTCCCCACTTGTCTCCCCACTCTAATTAGCAACCTGCCACGACATGCTTATTCACTTGTCACTTGTGTGCCTTTGTCACGACATGACTTCCCAACTTCACCACATGATTTCCAGACTGGTCTTCATGCTTGCTCGCCAATGGAAACCTGTTTCAATTTTCCCAATTGTCTCCTTTCTTGTTTCTTTGCTGCAACCCGTTGCGACATTGTTTCCCCACTCCCTTCTCGTCTGCCCACTGGCAGGTTGTCACAATATCATTTCCCCTTTGTCTCTTCACTTGTCTCCCGTCTTGTCTACTCACTGGCAACCCTGGGTCGGATTCCCTAAATTCTTCTCGTGAAGCCATGAAAGCTGGATGATGATAGTGTGCGCCTGGTGGCTCGGTGAACCTTCGCTTGTCTTTATCTCATGCAAGGCAACGGTATGCTTCCGAAAACGCGGTTCCAACGTGCTCAGAATGATTTTCTGAATGCTTTTTGGAGGGCCAAGTTTTGACTTTGGAAACACAAGATCCCTTGCGACATGCAACCTCATGTTTAAAAGCACTCGCTTGCAGTTGCTGAAATAACAAATGTACTTCAAAAAAGTCAATCCGTTTGCTTTTGAAAAGATAAGATAGATTGTATAATTACTTTTGTTTGTGTATGCCATGGCAGTTGAAAGCAAACCAAAACTGAACAATTGTGTAAATTTTGCATGAGCCCCTGGTTGAGGCAGATCAACAACAGCGTTCCGCTGAGGATCCGTGTCAGAATGATCAAGTTGACCTTCAAGATAAAATTGACAGGACAATGCTGTGTGCAGCCTTCTCGCCAGCTTGAAGGTGCAGAGTGCCCAATTGCTTTTCCCGAATTTGGTTCCGAATGTGCAGGCCGCCGTCCAGACGCTGCCTACTTTTGACGGTTCTGGTAGCCTGGCCGGGAACTTGGATGTTTTTGTTTTGGTCCTCGAGTTTTCATTAATTCTTTTTCCTAGAGGTTCGTCTTGTGGTTTCCGTGGTTTCTGCTTGCAAATCGAAAGGATTGCATAGCAGGTCAGGGCCCTTGCAGATCTTGCTGCGGTGTGCTATCGCCGCAAGCGCGGTGAGGCGGGTGCCGCCTACGAGAAGTGCACTATTGTTTTTTGTGAATTCCTTTCGCCACAAGGAACTTTCAGTCAATGAGGACGTGGTCGGTATTCCGTTGATCCAAAGCTTTTGCTCCAAAGGCATCGTTCCACCAGGGCCTAGGGGCTAGATGATTGCGCATACACCTGTTCAGGCCCTTTGGCAGAACGCGATCTCCTTATGAAGAGTTGTATGAAGCATGAAAGTCATACGCAATGCGCTTTCTTAATCATTGCTGAGGTGCTGCTGTGGCCCAAGCCTATTTGGAGGCCAACTCTCGGATGCAACCTTTGACCTGCGAACAAAGAAAGATAACTTTTTTGATCTCTTCATATCACCCTTCTGCTCTAGGTGATTACTGCAACGCGGCTATGGCCACCTTTGGCAGATGCCAACAAGCACTACAGCGATGAACCCACCTCAAAGGAATGGCAAGACTAGCTTCCACAAAATAGAGATAGCCGCAGAAAGAAACCAAGCTGGAGTGCAACTGAGGCCGCTAGGTTTGTTGATCAGTTGCAAGAAGAAGTAGAGAAGGAGGAAAGGGCCAGCTTCCTGGTAACGAAGTTGCGAGAGGCGTGGGATGTCAGTCTGGATCAAACTAAGGAGCCCGGACAAACTGCTCCGAAGATGCACCGCGGAAAGGTCTGGACACAGCTGGTCTTCACTTTGGACTTGCAGGGCTTCCGCTTTGCAGGGCTCCAGCCCAGCTGAAGAACTGCTCACGTCCACCCTCGACTTTTGGGCAACAGCTTTGCAGCCTCGAAGCCGCACAAACAGATCAGAGGAGATTGGCAATGATAGAGCTTTGGAAAACGCATCGGATTCAATTTGGCTTTGTGGCAAGGCAATGCCGGCGGGAAATCGAAGATGAAGGCAAATACACTTACGCTTGCAGACCAACACAGACGAAACAGCGGTTGCATCGCAGGTGATCTAGAGCCACCGGAAGGTGACTTGGTTGCTTTCACAGGCTGGTGTTATTTATTTTTGGTAGGAGTATCTGATCAGCTCCTTTTTCGTGAGGAGCATCTCTTGCGGAGTTCAAGACAGGGTCGCTGACATTACGCCCTCAGCTCGGCGGGGTTGTCGCGAGCCCCGCAAGCATCTGATTGGATCTGATTGGTGTTGAGGCCTTGCCATCATCAGATTGTGGAAGCACGTCTTCAAGCACTTTGCCCAGGCCGGATGTCGTTGAATCACATCTTCACATCTCACATTAGCTCTCTCATTTCTGCACATCTCACATTTGTGAGTATCACATCTAATTATATAACTATATATTCTTTATATTAAGGGCTGCCGCCCCTGCCGCCGACCCCGGATTCTCAGGTCCGGCTTTTCCTCCACTGGTTGGCATTGCGAGGGTTTTTCGAACAGGGGTTTCAGTCGTCCTTTTAAAGGTTGCTCTTCTGGAATCGTCGTTTCTTTCCGGTGTCGAGGTCCGTGCCCGTGCGGAGCGTTTCATTGCCTGCTCTCTGGATTGTTTGCTAGCATTTTCCACCATTAACCAGCCTCCCAAAAAGCATCTGAAACCACCCCTTCGCCACAGCTTTAACCCATTGAGTTCAGCTCCAAACGAGCCCCAATTCCTCGGACGTTCGGTGTCAAACGGACGCTCTGGATTCCTATAGAAAAAAGACAATTTGCTAGCATTTTCCACCACTAACCAGCCTCCCAAAAAGCATCTGAAACCACCCCTTCGCCACAGCTTTAACCCATTGAGTTCAGCTCCAAACGAGCCCCAATTCCTCGGACGTTCGGTGTCAAACGGACGCTCTGGATCCCTATAGAAAAAATAGAAAAAAGACAATTTGCTAGCATTTTCCACCACTAACCAGCCTCCCAAAAAGCATTTGAAACCACCCCTTCGCCACGGCTTTAACCCATTGAGTTCTGCTCCAAACGAGCCCCAATTCCTCGGACGTTCGGTGTCAAACGGACGCTCTGGATCCCTAGAAAAAAAACAATTTGCTAGCATTTTCCACCACTAACCAACCTCCCAAAAAGCTTCCACCAACAGCCTGCCAAAAGCTTTCCAGCCTCCCAAAAGCATCTGAAACCACCCCTTCGCCACGGCTTTAACCCATTGAGTTCTGCTCCAAACGATTGAGTTCTGGCGGATCTATCATTATTCCCTGGCGCGCTCCCCCTTGCGTCGGCCGGGGTCGGCGGATATTCCTTATATTAGCTTATAGCTCTCACATTTTCGCATCTCACATCCGGATTTGTACATCCTCTCTCTTCTCTCACATCTTCACATCTGCTCTCTTGTGGCGCGTGGCGGACGAGACGCCGCGACGAATGTCGATAATGTCGAGCGCCCGAACCTGTGATTAAATGCGCATTACACAGGTCCTTGCGCAACCCTTTGCGACGATCGTGAAACTCATATCCTTTACGCCCACGGCCCTCTGAGAGGATCGTACGCGTCAAGCGCAAGAAGTTGAGAAAAAAGCTAACTTTTGGATGCTCCAGGGTCTTTGTGACCCCAAAGGTCTCTTGCATGCAAAAGTGCAACAAAAGCTTGTAAATCTGCCATAGTGGAGGTTGCCAAAGTGTGAAGCTGTAGTCGCAAATGATGATGTGTTGCCAAAGTGTTAGACGAAAGTGAAGGGTGTGTGTTGCCAGACCAGAGTGTGAAATTGTCGTTGAAGATGAAGGTGCGTGTCCCCAAAGTGTGAAATTGCGAGGGCTGAAACTGTCATCTTGCTTGGGCCGGGTTTCACGCGGGGTCAGCGGCTGTATTGGTTGCTGAGCCAAAAAACAGAGTGAATGTCGTGCACTGCATGCTGCAGCTGTTTGACTGCTTTCACATCCACTTTACCTTTACCACCTTTACTTCTGTGGACAGCTCCCAGCACCCACATTCTTTATTGAACAAACCTTCTTATTAACACACCGTCTTGCATCTTCTTGCTACTGTTGATGGACGACATCCCCTATCGTTGTGTGGGCAAAGTTCTTGCCCTCGTTCTCCCTCTTCAACAGTGGGATCACGGTACAAAAGTTGCATGCCCAAAATCCAGGATTTTGACCATCAACTGTATCATCCCTTTTCGCGCTCGGGCCGTCTGTCGTTTGCATTCTTTTTGCTCGTTTTTTTTCATGGCAGTATGAGCTTGGACGAGGGTGGGGTTGGGATAACTAATGAGGTTCTGAGGTTCGTTTGGAAGTGTTTCAACGAGATGTTACGGGCATCTTCACAAAAAAGACCAGGGCAAATTTCGTTATTGCCCTCCTGTGCAAGTCTGGACACTATTTAGGGTCTTCCGCAAAAAATGTAAAGACAACTGTGTGAATTTTTCCTGTTGTTGGTATGTTGTGTACAGCCGAGTTCTGTCCATGGTACATTCTGCTGCCATTTGGGTTTACAGCGCCCTTGAGCTTTCCGCGCTTACGCGACGTGAAAACGCCGTTGGACGTCGCGGTCGGGACCAATTTCATATTGGTAGCGGAGCAGGTTCGGGTTCCGTCCCACTGCATCCATTCACCCGTAAATCCGCCGATCCAGGATTCGCTCGTGCATTCGTGCCGAGAATTTGCAACCAAGTGTTCTTGAAATTGCCCGTTGAGGCCTGACAGACAGGAAGTGTTGGTCGCAGGACTTCGCTTTAATCCCGACAAGAATTCAGCAGGCGGTACTCATTTGGAGGCCAAATCTGGTTCGTACATCTACTATGGTGATGCCGCATCATTCCATGATTGGGAGTTTCGCACTCGCCTTCGCATTCGCTTGTGGAAGGAAGGCAACAAGACGAAGGTCAGCTCCCGGAAAAGCACCCTGTCGGCAACACCAAAGAAGGGTGACATGCCCAATGGAGGTACTGAGGAGGACGCTGAGCTCCCAGGTTTCCCTCCTGTCGAACCAGAAGATGAGGAAGAAGAGGAAGTAATCATCACCAAGCCAGACATCAGCACACTCGTGAACAAGATCCTCGAAGTTTCTCGTGGAGATGCCTTTTTGCTCACCAGGGACGTCGGTCTTGATGCCCTGACCAGTCAGGAGGGGTTGGAAGACTTATTGCAAAAGAGGAAAGCTTTCGTATTCCCACGTGCCAATGATGAGGAGGCGAAGGAGTTGGTCCGTGCTGGCCAGAAGCACGGAGGCCCTTTGTCACGCCAAGCTGGAGAGTCCATGCTGTCGTACACCATGGACGCAAGCGTTGGTGGTCCGTGCTGCAGGAATTGGATTCGACCATGATGCTGAGTGACAGTCTTCGTGCCGAACTGTTGCTCGAGTTGTCTAGTTTGTCATGTCAGGAGATCCTTGTGACCAAAGCATGTGCCGTCCCCAAGAACTTCGAAGGATATTGCAAGGTTTCATTGACCATTATTCAGGAGTTCACCGGCAAAACATGGCAAAGCCGCTCTTCACCTATGTCTGGGAAGGGCAAGAGCTAGTCGAACCATTCAGGAAAAGGCAAATCATTTCCGTCTGCATATTATGTCTCATACCCTGAAGTGGATGAGCGTTCGTCGTCAAGATGGGAAACCATGGAAGAAACGTTTGAGACCAACTTCGATGAAGGCGACTCCCACGCCTGGTTGGGAGATGGATTTGATGAAGAGGAAGAAGCGCAGGAGCAAGAGTTCGATTATCTTGAAGACGAAGAAGAAGCCATTGCCTTGAACGCAATGTTGGACATCGAAGAGGCCGACGATCGTCAAGCAGGAGAAGCTATCCAGCTTCAGCTCGCTGCGTTCAAAGCATTCGGCAAGGCCAAAGGCAAAGGTAAAGGCAAAGGTTTTGGCAAGAAAGGTTTCACAGGCAAAGGCAAAGGCAAGGTTGTCCGCAGCCAGACGAGCATTGAGCAACGTCGCGCCAAGCTTCGTGAATTGAAGTCCAAGTCAAAGTGTCTTCGTTGCGGAGGCATGGGACATTGGGCAGGTGATCCTGGTTGCGAGTTTGCAAACAAGCCACAACCCCCGAAGCCTACTGCCAACCTAGCCTATGAGAGTGAACCATCAGATGGTGAAGGGTTTATTATGTAGGTGCAGCCACATCTGCCGAGCAGAACAATGCAGCCGTGATGGCGTTTCGATCAGGAGCATCCGGTAAGGGTTCACGTCCCCGTCCGTCGCAGGCACAGTTGTCCATGGTTCGTGCAAACGATGCCACATCGTCCGACTCAGGCACCCGAGTGACTCCGTCGTCGGTCGAGCGCCCCATGGGATTCGACAATGTGTTTCAGATTGGACAGTTCAAGGGGAAGACCTATTGGGATGTTCTGCATCGACAACCCCAATTCTATGTATGGGCAAAGAAGGAAGATTCTCGTGTTCCCGGAATCCAGCAGTATGTGCAATGGGTTGACCAGTTCTTTGAGTTCAGGGGTGGAGAGATTTACCCGGTATTGCCCGGTAGCGCCAAGAAAGGCACAGCCAAGAGCTGCCAGGAGTTGAGGGAGCACGATCTGTCGCGCGTGTTTGCGTCGTGGGCATTCATCCACCGAGAAAAGGGAAGAGAAATCCAAATACAAGCCTGAAGATTGTCTGCTTGAATCCACCGATAACAGGGGATCTAGCCGTTCGACTCATCGCGTGTGGTGCAAGCAATGTTGTTCGTTCATTGATGAACTGCCAATGGAACTACGCCGTGAGCGAATTGCCTTGGCAAAAGCTGTTGAGACAACGACCCAAGACAAGGTTAGCCTCATTGAAGCCATCACTCGAGATGATCAAGAGATGTTTTGACCCCAGAAACGGTAGGTAGAATCTTGGGCATTTTCAGCGGTCTGGTTGAGTCGGAATGCTCGTCGTCGCCTGACACCCTGACCCAGACTCGACTTGATGAACTACTGCAAGAAGCCGCGTTCCAAGACCAGATCATGTTGGAGCAGGACCCAATCAGTGATGAGATTGCCTGGCGCCTTCGGGACCCCGAACACATAGGTTACGCTGCCGTCGAGACCAGTGCATTTGTGTTCCATTCGGAAGTGCGTTCGTCGAGCGTGAGCAATGGATACCCCCAACAAGAAACCAGAGACATGTGGTGCGAGAGTGACCCCAACGTCTTCGCCATTTTGGACGAGGGTTGCAACAGCGCCTGCCATTCGCAATGCTGGATGGAGAAGGCAGAAGCCAAATTCAAGCAATTGGGCTATGAAGTAGGCTGGGCATCAAAAGAGGGCAAGGTTTTCTCAGGTCTTGGGAGTCAAGGAAACAAGGCCCAAGGTTGCA